CTGAGCTGTCTCGTTCCACGTAAGCGCGAGTTGTTTTTGCGAGTTTAAACGCGAGCCAAATAGCATTTCGCCTGCTAACGAGGCGATACTGTGAAAAGATCCCAGATCAAAGTTCGAAAGTTGCTGATGTACATCTCTCGCCTCTGTTAAAATGTTCTGTAGGCAAAATTATGGTTCCCTGATATTATCAAATATACTATTTCTTTTACAAGTAAATTGAGTTTGGAAAAATTGCCAATATCACCACCAGAGAGATTTCACGCAGATGCACATAGAGAAATTCAACATCGACGTGAAAGAAACCATCTTTTGGTGGAACAACCAACCACGAAACAAATTGCACAGGTCGTATCCATAACTTACACAAACAGCCAGCTCCAAAGCGCGCAAGACACGCTAATCACAAAGCTTACACACTAACGAGAAATAAACAAAAGAAAGTGTTATTGATGGTCCTAATCACTTGAGTATTCATCCTCGCCATCTTCATGTTGTCTTACAACTTTCTCGATGAACCTCTTCCGGACTCCCTCTATGACTTCATACTTTGATGAATCACCACTCCGGCCATCGTTTAGCACTGGATCTGACTGGCAAAGAGCTAAAGCAACAGCTGGAATATAATAAAAATAATCGTAAGTACGTAACACATTTATATCGGGCAAAAATCAGTAATCTTCAAGCTCAGAAATTCTCAGATTTGATGAACTTGTTAGTTCAACTGCTACATTTTACACCTAATCGAAATTGAAGACGACTATGATAATGGCTTTTGACAATTGGTATTCTTGCAGATGGATGAGGATGAATTACATTTTCATGGAAGCGCTTTAGTCATTCATTCCTTTTCACATTATGGGAACTTGGCCTTACACAACCACATTCTAAGCCAACATCTCTGACAAAGATATATAATTTAACCACACATTTCTCTAAAGCCTCTTAAGATCCAAAGTCTCCTTCACCTTTCTAGCTCTCCTAAAACTCAAATTGAAGACATCCAAAGCTGACCAGTGGCATAGTAAAGTTATGGGCTATCTGCCAGCTTGATGATATCTGTTCACTGGTTCTTATCAATAATTAACGAAGTTACTAATGTCTACATCAGCATACGAACCAACTGAGGGAAGCGATTATTCCAAAATTGTCTTATTATATATGCTGGTTGTCTTTATGGTTAATGCTTGCATTTGTGGAACTTTAAGGGTCGTATAATGTATCAAAGTAACTTCAGGTTTGATATGAAAGTATAAGGCAGCATGTATTAGTTTAGTCATCACCATCTGCTTTTTTCCTAATGTGGTTGACATATAACATTTCTAGACAAATTAATTTACTAAGCAAGACAACAATCAGTCCAGGACCAGGATTAGTATGTTTAGAGCTGGAAAATGAAATTCAGGTGTTTAGTTATCGATTTATTATGGGAGTCAGCAAGTTTATCAATTTGGTTTTTTAATTGTTAGAGCAGTGGTGTTTGGCTATAGAAATTATCAATTTAGTATAAGAAGTTTTCCTAATAATTCATCTTAACAGTGAGCACCTAGAACATATTGATTCGTATATTGTTTTGAAGTGACATCATGACCACCTACTACATAGAAAATAGTTGTGCACAAATGTTAAATTGGAGTTGGCTCCTATCTCGAACCTAACAACACTATCAAACAAAACCAAAGTGCCCAACAAATGCACCTTACTTCACCAATACTAAGGAATAAAAATATTGAGACCATAGTGACCAAGACGACAGGTTGTGAGTCTTGTGACTGTATAGCGATCAGGTTGTGAGTCTTGTGACTGTATAGCAATCAGCATAACATCGATACTCCATAAATAGATCTTACACTATAAAAGCACAAAACCTGGAGGTATACAAAGATCTAATCCTACATTTTTTTTACTTAACACGACTTAACCAAAATCATTTCAACTTGTTGTGAAAAAATTCTAAAAATAAAAAGGCACCATTTTGAACCTCTTTATTGTGCGAAAATCTTTCAAAATGCATACCTTAGCTTTCCTAAACAGCCAGTCTTTCAACATAATAATATACAGACAGCCCATATGACCAATGTACATATTTATTATCACATAGAAGCATTCAAGAACTGCAATTCGGGTACAAAACAGATAACAAAAACTAATAATGATAACTAATAAAACACAGTTTGCAATAATAAATGAGTTACAGAGATAAAAATATTGGGTGAAAAATATGCTGAAAATATGGTAAAAACTTACATTCAGGTGTACATTTTCGAGAACCAAAGTGATGCAACCCTACGTAAGTCGCTTTCACAGCACTGTTATTGTACACTAAAATGGTAGGGAGATTACGATCTGGATAGTTCGGGATGCAATCTGTGGAGATTATCTTTACAAATTTAGTCGCCGGGTATCTTTTTGCAAGATCCTCCAAGCATTGCAAAAGTAACTCGCATTCTGGTATACTGCCACAAAACAAAAACAAACATTTAAGAAATCTTTACTGAGGATACATCAAATCATATACATTAAAGACCTAGGGGTACAAAACCAGGATCACGTAATAATCCTCAAATCAGTTACTCAGATACACAAATGTCTCATAAAATCTGTTATATGTCCACCATCCAAACATCAACTAGTATAAAATTGGAACTAAGAATTGCTTGTTCCTCCAAAATTTAGTAGATACTTAAAAATCTATATATCAATAGAGACATAAAATTCTATTTGTCCATCCTAATTCCACTAAAAAAATAATCAGTACGGATAATGAGTCACAATTTAACATTGACTTCCTAGTTACTATGTATTACTACTTACAAATTGGTAAAGACATAAGTATGTACTTCTTCATTCCAATTTAAAAAAAAAACAAAGCAGTCATCAACAAATCATGACACCAAAATTTAGTGTGGCCTGTTCTGTTACTATGTATTCTTATTTTAAGCATTAAAAACTTACAAAATAACTCGAAATTAGGAAAAGTAACAAAAAAACTAGAAAATAGAATGTCATCCTCGTCTATAAAGCTGTCCTAAAAAAACTCGGCATAGTGGATGTAATACCCAAGCCTATGTAAGTCAACGCCCAATAGTGTTTTAGCTCTAACCTGATCGACCCACATCACTTTGTGCTGGTAGGGATTTAATACCTCTGAGGCTCATTTGTGTTTAACCATGACTTAACAAGCCCATGAACTTAACATTTAAAGTTTATGATATTTCCTAACCATATCTCCCAACAATCTCCATGAATTTTTTCCCAATCAAATCGCGTGATTTTTTTCTACAGTTTATTTTTGTAACTAACCCGTTTGCCACTACTTGAAAATCCCTTAGTCTTAGGGATTCTCTAATCACAACCTTCCCTTAAAAACCTATCTTCTCTCCTCTACCATTCTTGCCTCAGAACCTGCACACACAAAAAAAATAGAGAACAAGAGAAGGAGAAGGACGAGATTTGGATTTTTTTTCGCTTGGATTTGGGGCTCAGAGTCTTTTTTCGACAAATCAGCAAGCATATTCCTAACTTTTTTTTCCTCTTTATTTTTTCTTGTTTTGTTAGGGTAGGTAGTATGAAATTTGAGATTAGGGTTAATTGAGGCTTTCTGTAGTTGCTTTGCATATCGGTATTTCTAGGAAACCTCAACGATATGACATGATTTTGTGATTTGTATCTCTCCTTAGCTTTATAATTTTGTTTACAAATGACCTACACTAGCTAGTTTCCGATCCCGACGGTCACACGTTCGACATATATGAAAGTTCCATCCACGGTGTCAAATTTTACAATCATAGATATTTCATCAGTTTGCAAGTGTTTAAATTTGTTATCATGAGATTCAGATACTTGCTAGTTGTTTCTACGGAATTCTACACAAAGTAGAACTTTGTCAGTCTCTTAGGATATATATAGATTCAATATAGTTGGGTCTGTTGTTATATCATACATGGACTTTTTTTTATTTATATTATAAATAACCATGCTGAAGTTCCTTGTATGTACGCCCATTGGTGTAGTGTAGCATCCTGCATCCTTAGAACTATAACAATCTTTAAGTTTTATCAAAAACATAACAGGAAACATAATAAAACCATCTTCTATTTTTCTAAAATTAGTGTAAATAGGCTTCAGTTGTTAATTTTTTTTTCATGCAAACTTAGCTAGTTGTATAAAACCCTTGCAGTCAAAGGCAAAGTATGTATTTAATTGTCCTACAAATTTGCATATTTTTATATTTTTTTAATTGTAACCTTAAAGAAAAACAAATATATGTGAAAGGTCTTTTAGGCTTAACAATAATCTTATTTTTAAATATCTCAACTCAATAAAGTATCTTTTTTAATATCTTTCTCATAAATATTTCTGAGTTCACCAAATTTGCAAATATCATTTACTAAGAGTTAAAAAAAAGTTTCTAACTAAATCAGCTTTTTTCATATTTTTAGAACCTACACAATTATCTGAAAACGACGTTTAGGTACCTCCTGCATCACCTTTGCCACAAAAACAGATTGGGTGTAGTGGTTAGTTGCATTTGACAATGACACAAAGGTTTGGAGTTCGAATCCTAATGACACTGAGTTTTCACAAAAATTCTTTTGGATCGGATTTTGAACCCAAACCAACCCGGTTGGAGTCCAACATCAATACTAGACCCGTTTGGGTCTAAACCTCAAATTTCAGACCCGTTTGGGATTTTTTACTCACTAAAATCAGTTTTGTAGATTTTTATGCTGTCAAATCAAATTCGTTTGGCCTGCTTTGACACTAAACAATTATGTTAATTATTTATCTTTCCCTTTGTTAAGACAAATGATGATATTGTTTGATCTCTCGATACTTATTGGATCACCTGATGCTATGTTTGATCACCTAGTGACATTTAATAGTATTGATTGTGCATGAAGACAACTTCCGTCAAGAAATATGATTCATAAACGTGTTATCATAGCATGGCTATACCCTCGACATCGATATCCCGATGTGAGGGGTTTCTCTTGATTATTACTATTATTATAATAGCATTGATTAGACGATACACCCATCTTGATTGGACATGTTTTGGGTCATGGTTATTTTTCATAAATTTTACGAAAGTCAGTTCCACAGTAACTCTGTGGTTAGAGAACAATATTTCATGCACAACCACTTAAAATAAATGAATAAATGTGGGGTTTATAAAGGAGAATTGGACGAAAAATATAACGTGTATATAAGTGGGCTCATGCGCATTCTTGATATCCAAATTTATATATATAAGAGCTAATGGTCAATCCTAACTTGAAGCCGTGTTCCCGAAATGGTTTACGAAAACCTGATTTATATACATGAAAATATTCTTCTCTAATTCAAATAACACCTAAAATAATAATAATTTGTTTGTGTACCTTGTGGTAGACATTATTTAATATCTACAATTAGTATTTTTTATCACATTTAATTGAATTTTCACCTTTTCTTTATACATGCTTCATACACTTACACGAGCACAATTCCTTCATTTTACATGTTTGTTGGGAGTTTTCTGACTCCCCTGGAGTTTGCGCACCTCAGACTCGGGAACTGCTCTTTCTTAGCAGGATCAAAAATATTTTAAGGAGCAAGTCCAGCGACAGTGATCACTTTTTTGTCCATCAGTTCTTCAGTTCAGTTGGTTTAGGTAGTTATTTGGTTTAGACTCTTTCTTGAGTCATATGTGACTTTTTTTCTAGACTATGATATAAACTTTTCTTATTAGCCTTTCCCTTTGTGGATAGTTGTGAACTCGTAGTTGGACTTCGTCCTTTTGTAGATTTCTTCATCTATATATTTTTTTATTGTCTTAGTTACATGCACTATGGTGTAATTTTAGCTTTATATCTATATACAGGATGATCTAGAGGCGTGAATGTGACCGAATGGTTGTATTGCCGGCCGAGTCACATTCTAAGTTATTATATTTTGGAACCAGGACATGACAGTGGATAACGATAAAAGATCATCAAGCGGAGGGACCTGATTGTGCAACAAAAAATAACCTCTACTCTTGTATTTTATCTTCCTGTAGAGGCATTATGGATCGTCCAGCTTACAAGTGTCAGCCTCAATGATCTTTTATCGCTAAGAAAATATGTCGAGTATGTCTGCACGAGAACTATGACAGCATTTAGGTGACTACTTCTCATGCCAGCATTCATTATTCTGCTTTTCTTTACTTTTACTATATTTGGATATAATTTTGGCAATTTTCCAGCATTCATGAATTGGCAAAGGCATAAACTTTCTACTTCTTCATTCCAATTCCAACTTAAACAAACATAAATGCATAACTACTGAGTCATAATCTGATTAACCAGTTTGTCATCAACAATGTCAAACTTCTTGTTGCAATCTTAGATGCAGTTAGCCAACCTCCAACCTAAAGAACCATGAATAACAATGAAACTAAAGCTAAGAAAGATTGAATCTTTAACATTACCCTTCTTTATACAGAAACACGACAACCCAAACATCCCGAGACGCCTGCGAAACCTCCCTGACGAAATCCGACCCCGAGATCGGCACCACCGATTCGAACCTCGCAACGCTAGCCGCCTCCCTCATCTCCGCCAATCTTTTCTTCCTGCAAAACCCAAGCAAAAAAAACCCTAATTTCCTCAAATCTCACATCAAAATCCAAAACGACAAAGAAAACCCTAAACACTCACCTGTACTCTTCAAGGAACCGGTCGTCGTCGAGATCGGGATCGTCCTCGAGGTCCTCGAGCTCGTCGGCGGTGCGATCGTCGATCCAGGATTTGGATTTGGGGCGGAGGTCGGGATCGTCGGAGGGAGTGAAGGGTGGAGGCTTGAAAGAGGCGGGTTTTGGCGGGAGATTACCAAGCTTTCGCTGGATGTCATCCCATTGAGTGCTCGCGCCTTCGACGTCCTTGTACACGAAATGGTAGTCCCCCATGGCTCTCTCTCCCTCTCTCCATCTCTAGCAGACTAGCACTATAACTGGATTTTATTTGGGCCTGAATAGGATAATTAGGGCCCAACTTTTACTTAAGCCCAACCACACTCTAGCTGTAGCAGAACTGTTAGGCCCAATTATCGTATAATTCGGCCGAAAAGAAAGTTATGCTTTGTGATTGGTGGGCCTTTGTAGTTGCTGGACACAAATCAATTATTATTATTTAAGAAAAGCCCTTTCCTTTTCGGTATTCTATGGCCACTATGGCAGTCACCATTTTAAGAAATTCCAAACATATCCCAAAAGATTCACCCATAACTTCAAATAACTTACATCCTAATAAAGATACAAATTTGGAAAAGAACACCCAATAACTAAGAACCACTACCACCGTTTCGTAACCGGCAAATCATCCATTATTTGATTACTACCTCCACCATCTCAAACATATATTATTTCTCAAATACAGGAATTAGTATGCTAATTTGGTGCTATGATCTTTTACAAGGGTATACATTGAAGCAAAACAATAAATTTCGGAGGGAGTGAAGGGTGGAGGCTTGAAAGAGGCGGGTTTTGGCGGGAGATTACCAAGCTTTCGCTGGATGTCATCCCATTGAGTGCTCGCGCCTTCGACGTCCTTGTACACGAAATGGTAGTCCCCCATGGCTCTCTCTCCCTCTCTCCATCTCTAGCAGACTAGCACTATAACTGGATTTTATTTGGGCCTGAATAGGATAATTAGGGCCCAACTTTTACTTAAGCCCAACCACACTCTAGCTGTAGCAGAACTGTTAGGCCCAATTATCGTATAATTCGGCCGAAAAGAAAGTTATGCTTTGTGATTGGTGGGCCTTTGTAGTTGCTGGACACAAATCAATTATTATTATTTAAGAAAAGCCCTTTCCTTTTCGGTATTCTATGGCCACTATGGCAGTCACCATTTTAAGAAATTCCAAACATATCCCAAAAGATTCACCCATAACTTCAAATAACTTACATCCTAATAAAGATACAAATTTGGAAAAGAACACCCAATAACTAAGAACCACTACCACCGTTTCGTAACCGGCAAATCATCCATTATTTGATTACTACCTCCACCATCTCAAACATATATTATTTCTCAAATACAGGAATTAGTATGCTAATTTGGTGCTATGATCTTTTACAAGGGTATACATTGAAGCAAAACAATAAATTTAAAAACTCACCAGAAGGTGACACCTCATCTTCCTCCTAATCTAAACTTTTTGACATATGCCATATCATCGAATCCGTCCATTTAAATTGCTATTATACCTCAATCTTTAATTTAAATAAATATATTTATATATGGAAAAAAACAATTTGTAATCAATTAGAAAATCTTTGGCAATATCTTTAGCAGCTAATTCAAATCACAAATAAAATTAAATCCCCTCACTTTGGCATTTCTTTTCAATAAATAGGAAAAAAATATACGTTTGTGTTTTCTTGAAAAGCCAAAAAATCTACTTATCAAGAAATTCCATTTTCTTTTTTCGTTTACTTATCCTGTCACAATTTTTTTACATTTTAGTTTTACTCGTCTTAATTTTTTCAAGAACTTCGAATTATTATTCCGATCTTCGATAAATACATTAGGTAATTAATATAACACATATGTTACTTTAATTTTTCTTATTTTTATTTTAATTATTCTTGAATTTTTTATTTTTTAGATTGTCAATTTTAATTCCTACTCCAACTTATTTTGATCTCCGAAAAATACATCAAGTAATTAATCTAATGCCATCTAATATTATATTATTTTTTAAAATTTTAATTGTTTTTAATTTTTATTTTTTTTATTATCCATTTTTTATTCCTTTATAATTTTATCTCCAACCCATGGTTCATTAATTGCTTGGAGGAAATAATTTAGGTATTTTATTTAACATCCAATATAATTTTTGTTTAAATTTGTGCAGTATTTTTAAGTTTTAATTGTTATAAAATAATATTAATATACATGTACTTACTCTATAAACCTTGAATAATTATTTTTAATTTAATATCTTTTATATTTTTTATATTACTACAAGAAAACAAATCGGTGATTTTTAATCTTCAAACCACGACATTTTGTTGCTTGGAGAACATAATTAAGGTATATAATATATTCAGATAATAAATTTACATAAAAATATATTTTTTTAGTTTCTTAAAATATTACAGAAATTATTTAATTTATTTTAATTTGTGAATTATTTTTACCCCCTTAAATTGTTTTCAACTTTTTTTTAGATTGATAATTTTTTTGCTTATGTAATTTTATCTTCAATGCACGGCTCTTTAATTGCTTGCAGAGACATAATTTAGGTATTTCATCAACCCCCATTCAATATAATTGTTATTTTAATTTGTGTATCATTTTTTTCAATTTTAATCATTATCAAAAAATATTAATTTTTAGAACTTGAGTTTTAATTCTAATCTAAATATTACAATTTGCCTTTTTATTTTTATATAAATGAAAATTTTTATTTTACTACTTTTTTAATATAATTGGGATTTTATTAAATTTTAAGATAGTAGTGAAAATATTTTTTCCTTATTTATAATATTTTTGTGAATAAAATAATATTAAAATTTTCATAATAAATATATGTTCAATTTTTAAAAAATATTATGTCAAATAAAATTGTTTTTTTAAAAATACATTTTTATGTTTTTAAATTATTATAGGGATTAAAAATTACAAAAAATATTTTGGCTTTTAAAAAGATTACAACAATTATAATAAATTTTTTGTAATATATTTAGATATTTTTGAATTTTTAGAATATATTTGACAATATCTTTAGTAACTAATTCAAATCAGATATCCATATATAGAAAAAACTAATTTATAATTAGATTTTTAAAGATAGAAAAAATTAATTTATAATCAATTAGAGTATGTTCGAAATAACTTTGATAACTAATTTAAATCATAAATAAAATAAAATCCTCTAATTTAGGCATTTCTTATCAAATCGGATATTAAGAATAGAGAAAAAATTAATTTATAATCAAATATTTAGATATAGAAAATTTTAATTTATAATTAAATAGAATATTTTTAGCAATACCTTTAGTAACTAATTCAAATCATAAATAAAATCAAATCCCCTCATTTACGCTTCTTTTCAAATCAGATGTTCAGATATACTCAATTTATAATGAATTAGAACATATTTGTTATTAGATCTAAATCAGACAAAAAATATTACAGCTTTTAAAAATGTTTTGGATATTTTTTAAATATTATAGGTTTTCAAAATATATTTTCTAAAATTTTAAAAATATATTTTAATTTTAAAAAATCTTAATTTTTTTGAATTTTTAAATTTTTAATTTAGTATAGCAAATAAAAATTATAAAAAATTATTTTTTGTTTTTAAAATTATTATAGTAGTTATAATTAATTTATGAGAATATATTTAGGAATTTATTAATTTTTAGAATATTTTTGGTGATACCTTTAGTAAGTAATTCAAATCAAGTATTTAGAAATAGAAAAATTAATCTATAATTAGATATTCAGATATAGTAAAAAATTAATTTATAATAAATTAAAATATATTTGACAATATCTTTGGTAACTAATACAAATCTCAAAAAAAAATCAAATCCCCTCATTTAGGCGCTTCTTTTCAAATCAAATATTCAGATATAATTAATTTATAATCATTTAATATTTTTTTAGTGCTAGATTGAAGTCAGATATAAAAAATTTATAGTGACTACAAAATATTCTAAAAAAATATTATTTAAAAATACAACAGTGATTATAATAAAAAATTTAAATTGTATTTTTTTTTCTAGAAATTTACGAAATTAACATTTTCTCATTATATTATTTTAAAGTATAAATTTTGGTTTTTAAATTAATAGAGCGCTAAAAAAATTAAAGATAAAAATTTATTTTTGTTTTTAAAAAATATTACAGTAATTATTATAAATTTTGAAAAATATATTTATGTATTTTTAAGTTTTTAAAATATTCTTTAGTAACTAATTCAAATTTTATATTCAGATATAAAAATTTTAATTTATAATCTGATTTTCAGATATAGTGAAAGTCAATTTGTAATTATTTAGAATACTAGGTTTTATACACGTACAATGCACGTGGTTAAATTTCATGATTAAATATTTTTAATTTATTTCCTTACTAAAATTTGTTCCTCACTTACACTTTGATTGTTTTTGCTCACTTATGTCTTTAAATTTTATCATTTTGATTATTTAATTTCTTTGATGTTTGTTTGAATGAGCTACACCAAATTTAAAATTTTATGTTGATAATTAAATTGACAGTAAATAAATATAATCTAAAGCCAATTTGAATTTTCACGTGATTTGGACCGACATGAAACCAAGCTTGAAATTATAATGTCGTAAAAGTAAAAAACACTTAAAATATAGCATTATAAAAGAACGATGAGTAACTAAAGCTAAAAGGCTAAGATGATTAATTAAAAGTGGGATAGAATGAAACTAAAGAGAATATAAAGTTTGTTGCTAATTAATTGATATACTTCAAAAAAATTATAAACTAAAGATTAGTACTAACTCTATGTTGGCCTTCTTGTTTTGATGATGATTTATAAACAATTTACTACTAATGTTGTTTGTCTAGTGTTTGTGTTTTCTTATTTATTATAGACAAACAACGTAGTTGGAGGATGGATGGAATAGAGCTTCAACGATCATATCCAAAGGAGGTTGGCGGAATGTCGGTGAAGCCTTGCAATTCAAAGTTCAAGATCCAAGTTAAAGCTTCATCCGCGAGATTACCTAGAAGAGCTTATTGAAGATCAAGATCTAGCTTGGGTAATTTAGTTTAGGATTTATATTATGTGTGTTATATACTCTAAGCTCAATTATCTATACACACACATTTATTGGTTTCTTCGTATATATATATATAGTCATATATATATATATATAAGTTTAGTCGGGGGTCGTCCCAAGAGGAGTGGCGTCGGTTGACGTGCCTAGGGAGAGGTTGTAACCGAGC